ATTAATTGTTTATTATTTTTCACGATTTTATGATGTTTTCAAGGAATTAAATGGTGGAAAAATGGTTAAACATATTTAAAAATCATGAAAAATTACAGGAGGGTTCTAAATTATAGTTAGAACTGAAATGTAAAGTTAGGAAATTTTAAGAACTGATTTGATTTAGTTTTGGATTTTTAGTTTGTAAAGCTCTTCCAAAAGTCCTAAAATGCATTTCAAACAATAACACAAAATGGGATTTGTCACTTGCAAATGTTAATAAGTCAATTGGTATATAGAAATATGAATTTTCAGAAAAGTATTTGCAACTTATACAAAACCTAATTTTGACACAATATTGACATAATTCTATTGTAGAAATTAAGTATACTAGTGTTAGATTTTCGACTAGAGACTTACTAGTGTGTAACCTTATCGTAGGGAATCGGTAGTAGGACGTGAGGGAAGTTAGCTCAAGGCATCACAAATACCTTCACGTATCATTGTTAGTATTCACGACTCCCCCTATTTTCGGTTTTAAATGTTTTGGGGTGGAAAAACATGTCTAAAAATTGTTTATTGTTCGTTGTATTTAATTTGACTTGTATCAAACTTGGTTGTTATATTTTGTTGTGTATGTGTATGCTATTGTTAATTCATGAGGCCTTATCGCGTTTAAGTCCTTGGAATCAGTTCACACAACTCATTAACTCATTTGAGCCCATGGTCATTATGGATAGCGCTATTAGGAGGTAGACAACTCCTCACTCACACGATTCGCTTGAGTGCATTTTACCATTATTTCTCCCTATGTTAGAGATAGACATAGCATTCAAGAGGGCATTCGGTCTTAGGCTTGGTTGTGAACTCATGATTTGATCACTACGCACATACAAACTTTGTTTCTCATTATAGCAACGAACTTTTATTACTGGAAACTTATTTACTTGTCTTAGCAATGAACTTGTATACTTTTTCTAGCAACGAACTTGTTTGCTTTTTGTAGCAACGAACTTATTTGCTCTTTGTAGCAGTGAACTTGTTTACTCATTTGAGCAACGAATTTTGTTTCTCATATTAGCAACAAATTAAACTTCTATTTATGGAAACTTTATTACTCGTTTTAGCAACGAACTTCTATTTATGAAAACTTATTTACTTATTTTAGCAATGAACATTTGTTTATGGAAACTGTTATCAATATTCTAATTTTTATGATTTCAAACTATATTATGTTATAAACCTGTGAGTACTCACCAACTATTTCGGTAGTTGACCGCTCATTTTACATGTTTTTTCAGGAATCATCTAGTAAGAGTCACCTAAGGACACATCACTTGTAGGAGCATTCGCATGTGTGATTCTTTTTATACATTGTAATTACTTTTAAAAGTTGTTTAAACTTAATGTAAATTGTAAAGCTTTTAATACTATGGTTGGTGTTGTCTTTATCTTTTGCTATGAAACCCTTTGTACTGCTACGCCCCATATTTCCGATTTAGCGGGGTGTGACACATGCTGATGGGTTTTTATACATAGCAAACAATCCTATGTGTGCATGCAACCCTAATTTGAGGATCTATGTTTTCACTATTAGACATACAAGCATTGAACACAAAAACTGGAAACCCGAGATGTATCTAATAATTTTGAAATCTATGTAAGAAGGATTAGATCACATACCTTTATTGCTATATAGTAATAATAATGAAATCTTGAAGATCCTTGCTTTGAGAACAAGTCACACAAGCGTAGTACCTCTAATGGCTCACAAACACACTAGGGCAAGAGGATGATTATGAGAGAGAGGAGAGATGAGATATGCACTCAAAGTTTCGGCTCTTCTAGGGTTTCATAAGCATAGCCGAAACTCATAGGGTGAGGGCTCTATTTATAGTTGAGGTAGCTTATATCAAAGCTAGGGTTTTGAGATGGAAACCCTAATTCCTTAGCTTATGGCCTAAGCATCCCATGGACCCCCCTCCATGAGGCTTGGACGAAATCCCCTAGGATCTTCTAGGGATTTTCCGCCTACCCCAATAAGAGTGATCCAAGAGCCCAAAACACTAACTATCAAATAATTACAAAACAACCCCTGTACTTTTAATCAGTTCCTTTAATTCCAAAGTTAATTCCAAATTAATTTCTGATTAATTACTAATTAATAATATGATTTCTAATTAATATATTATTTACATAACATATTAATAAATCATTTTATACACCAATTTATTTCCAAATAATAAATTCAACCTCTCTCTCCAACATTCATCATGTCTAGTTGTCAGTGTGAAGGCATCCCAAAAGGACTATGCTACTATCAAATCAAGTACATACCAATTATAGTTATGAGTTTAGACACCTAATCTGACACATGCCCCCAACGAAATCTTAATAATCATATTGACAACATGTAAAATTTGGCTTAAAGGAATATAATATACTAAAGGTCCTCAATGACTTAGACATGCTTTCTTATTTCATGTCTCCTCTTTACAATTTTACCCTTTCATAGGGTTTAATATGTTGGTCCTTGTCTTGGATCATATATTAAGTGCATGTCCTTGATAATGTTCTAGCATAGGTTTGCCTTTCATCTTAAAATAATTATTAATATTATAATTCTTTTTGACAATGCATTTTCTTCTAAAAATAAGGGAGGTTAAACTCAAAAGTAGGATAAATGTTTGCCAATTTATTAATATGTTAATATGCCCTATTTAAATTTGGATCACAACAATAACTTCAATAGTATATAATTCGTGCCAGTGCCATGAATAATAACAAATATCACAATAATTAATAAAGGAGCTCACAAGTTTTAATTTAATCACATTTAGTAAATGTCGAAAATAAGCAGTGACATAACATAAACAATTAATAAGTGCACCTAAAGTCAGAGGTGTGTATATTTTGCAATTAATTAGTGGTACTTAAAGTTAGAGGCTTGTATATTTTGCTTGAGATTATGCATTTTACTACCAGAAGTATATTTTCTTGAGAATTCAACAACTTTCAATTTTTTTTTTTTATGTTCAAGTTTACTTATATCTAAAACCATCTTAATTCGACCTAAAAAAAAGAGTGTTTGATATTTTTCTTGTGCCCCCAACAGTTACAAATCCTAGATCTGTTACTGCATGTGACATATGACACCACGAATAGACATGTATTTTAACTGTGTTACACGAAAACACAAATAGACATGTTTTAATACCATTTTTTAAGCTAGGATAACATACAAATAATTTTAATCCAAAGTACAAACTCCCAATTACATTTCTAATATTTTAGAAGTGTAAACTTTAGCCCCTAAATCTATCCGTGTATATATTTGTTTATACATGTTTATAAGCGTCACATGTCGACATGAATTTGTGTCGAGTCTTATACGTGTTTAAACAGGTAAATTTGTGTTTGACACGTGTAAGACATGAAACACGAATTTAAAATATGTGTTGACACCAATAAACACAAAACATGAATTTCTAAAACACATACACGGAAAAACTTATATTGTGTTCCTATCGTGTTAATCATATTATATATCAAATTTTTAGGTCTAGGTCTACCAAAAGACCATATCGAGCAATGTTTAAACAAGGGAAAATGACTTGATAGGGTAAGATACTTTTTGAAATGTACACATTTAGTCTTTATTCTTTTTTTTTTGTAAAATAAACTCTTATACTTTATTTTTTGTAACAATGCAATCCTTGTGACCGGCTATACCCGGTATACCGGTCATATACGAATTTTCTTTTAGGGAAAATGACTTGATAGGGTAAGATACTTTTTGAATTGTACACATTTAGTCCTTATTCTTTTTTTTTGTAAAATAAACCCTTATACTTTATTAATATGTACACATTAGGTCCTTTTCACCGGATTCTACAGGTTTTGCTGATGTGGAAGCACAAGTGACACTAAATAGCAATTAATTAGCTTAGTCACCGGAGGTGGGTGATCCTCCAGCAACAAGAAAAGGGCGGCGACCCTTCTCTTTCTCGTCTCTCTTCCTTCCGGTCGAACAGCAACAGCCAAACACCCTTTACATGTTGTGTTTCTCCGATCTGTCTCTCTTTGCCTCCATCTTTGAGATATGTTGCCAGAAAAAGAAGAAAGAATCGACGAGGGGGCTACCAGAGCAGCTCCTCGCCGCCAACTACCGTCTCTACTTCCTTCTGCCTCCCCCTTCGACCTTGTTGTTTTTGCCATCATTCCTCCTTGCTACCAGTGATGTGTAGGAACACACAAAGGAGTCGCCGGAGATCGGGGTTCTCCCTCTTTTTCATGATGAATAAAAATTGGAAAAATCTCGTTGTGGATATGTGGATGTCATCTGGATATTTCATTTCAACAAAATAAAAGAAAGGGAAAATGACTTGATAGGGTAAGATACTTTTTGAAATGTACACATTTAGTCCTTATTCTTTTTTTTTGTAAAATAAACCCTTCCACGTCAGCAAAACCTGTAGAATCCGGTGAAAGGGACCTAATGTGTACATATTAATAAAGTATAAGTGTTTATTTAAAAAAAAAGAATAAGGACTAAATGTGTACATTTCAAAAAGTATCTTACCCTATCAAGTCATTATCCCTTTAAACAATTAATAATAAGAGATAAAGTAATACATATAACACTTATAAATAGTACACGTATCTAAATAATCAACTATTTTTCTAGATCCAATTCAGTTAAAAATACAATAACCTTCTTTGATCTGTTTTACTTAATTTTTATATTGATGCGAATAGAATATTTCTTTTCTTTATAGAATCGAGAGATTATTTAATGTTTTGTTCTTTTTGGAGAATCCAACACTGATAAATTTGAAATAAGAAGTTCAAGAAAAAATTAGAATTTTTTTTGGAAATGAAATAGCCGTTAGTCCCGCTTGGGTTACTTTCAAATTCAAAACACATTTCTGCAACACCCTCTTCTTCCTATTTTAAAACACACACACACACACACACATTCTCTCAGCTTCGTTCATCACAGCTCAAGATTCTCGTCAATAATGCCAACAGATCAATCTCCGATCACAGGAAACCCTCTCGTCCGGCCAAAAACCGGCCGACAGCCTCTTAAACCGATCAGATCCCCGTCGAATGTACATCCTCCACCGTCTGGAAACACCTACCAAAAGCCAAATCTAAAGCATGGATGGATCGAGATCTCTGAAGATTCTAACAAGGAGAATCCTAATCAGAATGAGAAACGAAATATTACTTCTAATCTGGATCCGAATCCTTCTTCGATCTGTGCTGTTTCTGTTGCTGCAGCTCCGGTGCAAATCGAGGAATTTGAAGTCTCGCTGGCTGAGGAACTGAATGCCATTCGGGAAAAGATGGAGAGGTTGAGGTCCGACAGAGAGAAGACAGAGAAGATGCTCAGAGACAGGGAGTTAATGATGGAGACGAAGATGAAGGAGCTCGATCAGAGAGGAGAGATTCAGAAGGTGCTTGAAATTGAAGTGGATCGGCTTTATAGATTAAACGAGCTCAGATCTTTATGCAACGTAAGTTTAAGACATGAAAACAATCCCAAAAAAAATTCAGTTCGATAACTGTGCCTTTTTATTGTGTGTTTCAGAGGATACTACCGATCAAATCATTGAGAGAGAAGGAGCATGAGAAGATCAAACCAGATAAATCACAGGCAAGTAGTTAATTTGAATTTTCATGAACACAATCGTGAATTTGTATCATTTATACTCATAATCCATTATCAAGTTCAATAACTTATATGAAGAAACTTCAAAATTGTTAGGCGACGGAAGAAGAAAAGGTCAGATTGTTGAGAGAGAAGGAGAAGACCAAACCAGATAAACCCCAGGTAAGTCATAAATCAGCAACAGATTTGAATTTTTTTGATCCTGATCATGAATTTGTATAAATTTCTATAAATTATACTTATCCTCAATGATTAATTACTAAATGAAGAAAATTCGAATTTGTTAGGTGGGAAATGCTGAAGAAACGGAAGAAGAAAAGGTGACAAGTCCTTGTGGGGTAAATGATTCGAAGAATTGAAATAATTAAGTTGAAGTTTTGCTTTTGGATTTTTGGTTTGTTGTTGGGGTCAAAAAGGAAAAAGTGGGTATAATTCCTTGTTGTATTCATTGATTGATATTGAAAAATAGTAGAAGCATGTGTGTCGTCATAATTGCAAATCACCATCATCTCAATTTTTTTTACTCCTATTAAGAGCATATTTTGCAATTTCTACAAAATATCAAGAAATACACAAAATTTTTCCTTTTACATGTAATTTCTTAGAATTATCAATCATTCTTAAGAATTATAGGGTTAACCGATATAAATATGTTGTTTTTTAACATAAGATCCAATAAAATATGGCATGTAAGTCATGAAATTAATTGAATTCTTTACGACACTTCAGTTTTTACATAGCATAAAACTGTTTGTGTTTTTTATATTATACATATTCTATATATTTTTTTAAAATGTTATTTCTCTATATACGAGTTTTTTTTTTACCTATTCATACGATTAAAATGTATTTTCTAACAGTATCATATGTTTTTTTAGAAATATAACTACATATTTAGAAACATATGTACATTTTTTAGAAGTATACATACATATATTTATGACAAATCCTGCGATTTTTGAGAAAATGTTTCCATTTTTTACGGAAATCTAACAAAAGTTTAAAGAAACCATTACATACCTTCTCTATTTCCTCTCTCAATAGATGAAACACTGTCTACATATTTCCTCATTAACTAAGTAAGAATCATATTGTCTCATTTTGTTACAGCCCTACACCTAAAAGAAACTACTACTTTACATAAAACTCTTACACACCTCCTCTCTCTATCTCTTCACCACTGCCCAACACATATTCTGTACCCCTCATGTCCCTATTTCCAAAACCAAATCCAATATTATGTATCAACCAAATTGCCAAAATGCCCTTTTCAATTCTCGAACCCGAATACCACCCTTGCTCTATCAACCTTCCAACCTAAAAGGTTGAAAACAAATCATCAGCCATTGATAACATTATATGAAAATTTTAGAGTAAATTACACGAATGGTCCCTATGGTTTAGGGTAATTTGCGCGTTTGGTCCCTAACTTATTTTTTTAACTCGGAAGGTCCCTACTGTTTGATTTTGCTACACGCTTGGTCCCTGTCTTACCTAAAAAAACTATTTTGCCCTTGATTTTTTAATTTATTTAAATAAACACACCCCAACCCTACCCCCTTCACCTTACCTTACCTACCCCACCATTTTTCCTTATTTAAATAATAGTCTTTTTAGGTAAGACAGGAACCAAGCGCGTAACAAAAACAAATAGTAGGGACCAAGCGCGTAACAAAAACAAACAGTAGGGACTTTCCGAGTTAAAAAAATAAGTTAGGGACCAAACGCGCAAATTACCCCAAACCATAGGGACCATTCGTGTAAAATTTTATAACTGCACTTACTACTTTTATTAATCTCTCTTGAATTCAAAACCATATGGGCCCCACATACTACATAAAACCGAATCAATTTTAGTCACTAGATCTTCGAAGCGTACTTGACCCATAAAAGAATCTTCTTTTTCTCAATATCTCAGCTTCTCTAGCTATCTGAATATCTGAAGGCCTAAACATTCTATGCATAGCTTTGATTATAAATCTAGGAAGTAATGCCACCACTATTATAAGCCAAATCGATAGCCAATATGTAGGTTGTTTTGCCAATTCATATATTGTCCTGAAAAATACAAAAAATAACCACTATTAGTTCCTTATTATTATAAAAATATATATAAGTTTGTAAAACTAACCTGTAATTAGGGAAAACAGGAATGGAATCCAACACAACTACACAAGCATATGTCATAACCACAGATCCCCAAATTGAGATATGAGTATAAAGCACCCATCTTTGAATGTCCATGGCTAAATGTATATTTACCAAAATGACCACTGAAACAGTCCACAAACTACCCATACTCCAAATATCAATTGTGCTTTGTGAAAATGCAAATCTTGGAACACAAAAAAGTGCAAGACTTTGCCATATGGTATCAGCCATCATCATCCAAAAAAGACAACTGTTGTAACTTTCTTGCCTGTGTCCAGATTCATACAACTTTGGATACTGAAGAAGTGTCTTATGACTCAAGTCTTTGTCTAGAATTCCAACCACAATTGTAGGGACTGAAGTGTAAATTACTGAGTAGAACACACTGCTCCAGTCAGTAAGTGCAGATGTTGTTGAAAAAGCTGCACATAATATATACCTGAACATAACAAAATCCAACATTTTTTTTATATTTATATACATCATAAAGAGAAAGATATAATACGAGTATTTACCAAAAAAGCATGAAGACAAAAACAGCATTTCTGTAGAAGTTATAAAGAACCAAATAACCCATGCGTTGATAATTCCAATGACCATGTACTAAAAGTAGTCTTTTTAAGAATCTAAATTGTCCCATTGCAAAATCTGAAGCCATGACAGCCTGGCGTCCCTCTTGTCCACATATGCCAACACCAACATCCGCCATTTGGATCATTGACACATCATTTGCACCTAAAAAATGTGTTAAAAAAGACTAAATTTTGGAAGGATAAAAACGTCTTTTTAAATATATAGTTAAACTAACTTACCATCACCTATTGCTAGTGTCATATCATCAGTTCGACTCTTGATCAAATCAACAATTCCAGCTTTTTGTAAAGGTGCAACTCGACAACACAAAACAACTCTACAAGATGTTGCCAGATTGAACAGCTGTCAATTAAAAAAAGAAATGTTAAGAAGTCATGAAATAATGATAAATTTTATGAAATATGAAAATAAGACAAGAAAATACTTCATGCCTCTGATTCCAAATCTCTTTCCAAGATGTAAACCAAACTATTCCCATCAATTATCAATGCCAATTCCCCATCTGTTCTTCCTTCTATGTTTTCAGTATTCTTCAAATCTCTACATTTAACACCATATCTAGCCATTGATTCAGACAGAAGCTGTCTACATTCAGTTTCTGAAGTTCCATTTATAACAATCTGATGCATATCTGATGTCAAAAGCTTACAAGAAAGAGCAATTGAAATTGCAGTTTCCTGTTTATCTCCAGTCAAAACCCAAACCTTAATTCCTGCTTCACGTAAACACTCGATAGTTTCAGGAACTCCTTCTTGAAGTTTGTCTTCAATTCCAGTTGCTCCAAGCAAATGTAAATTACATTCAACAAGTGATGCAGTTTGTCTTAGTTTCAAAGATCTATCAACCAATGAAGTGGTGGCATCTTCATACATTGATTGCCATTCTTCAAGTTCTTGATTTGTAAGATCCCTAGAAGCAAGTACAAGTGTCCGAAGACCTTCTGATGAATACTCATTCAAATGGTGTTGTGTTATGATGCTTAAATTGTTATCGTTTCCAGAATCGTCCCTCAAGATGCTGAGAATTGACGTATCTGCCCCTTTTACCAATACCTTTACTTCATTGTTTGGGAATCTGATAACCACTGACATTCTTTTTCGGACACTGTCAAACTCATGCAGCCCTAATACATCCAGCCTACATTTCACATCAAGATTTTGACATTTTGTTTTAGTTTATGATATATTGATATGAATTATGAAACATGAAACATGTAATCAAGTGAGTTTTCTACCTTAATTTCTCACCATTGACATCAACTGCAATATGACCAGATGTTCTTTCAAAAAGAATGTATCCATATGCACAAGCTGCAGCTACAAGAGCTTGTTCATCAGGAGATTCTCCTTGATAATCAATAGCTTCAAGATCTTCATGAATTTCAGTCCCCATGGAAGACCCTTGTGAACTACTTTGATTAAGAATTGGAATCACAGTGTTGCATGCTGCTAGTGTTAGAAAAAACTCATGAGCAGAAATTCTTTCATTCCCATTTAGCCCTTTATGAAGCAACCCCATGAGGTCAGGATCCACAGTAATATCAGATTTCAGCTTCTTTCCTTTCATGTCTGCTTCTGTGGAAACAACAATGTTATAAATTCACAAAAAGAATGTTATAAAATAAAACTACTAAAAGAAAGTCAAAAGTCAAACCTGGATTCTTTTTATCCACAATTGGTGGATTATGATAATGCTTCCCGAAAACAGATGCTTTTCTAAATTCCATTTTGTTTTCAGTAAGTGTTCCAGTTTTATCAGAAAACACATAACGAATTTGACCTAAATCTTCATTTATATTTAAGGATCTGCATTGAAACCTTGAGTTTGTACTGCTGTCATACATGTGTTTGTCTTCTATCATGAAATAAGATTGACCTAATCGAACCAATTCCATGGTGATGTATAAAGATATTGGAATCATTATCTGAAACACAATAACAGAACTCAAAAAAGCAAAAAACGTCTCCATAGGAATCCCATAATACTTATACGGTTTTCCTGGAAACTTTCCCTTTATAAGATAGCTCTTTCTGTAATAAGGAATCGTATCAATTGCATCCTGATGACTCATCAACCATAAACACATCCCAATAGCAACAACAAGACACAATATGAATAGAAAAACAGATAACCAAATAGTTTCTGAGTTCATTGCTTGTTCAAGTCTGCTTCTTTTTGAAGGGGAAACTGCACTATTTAGCATAGCTTTTGTCTCTTGTCCAGCATACACCACAACACCTATAACCCATTCTGTGTTTTTCACCTGACATCCACGTAGGATAATGTTTGATTGACTTAGGGAAACTTTATGACCATTTAACTCCATATTAGCTGTGAACTCATATATGTTTCTATTAGGTTGTTCACATCTAATTACCCCTGATATTGATCCTAATGGCATTAAGGATGTTTCTTGTCTAGCGTAACGTGTCTTTAAATTCGACTCTCCATCTAAATTCATGGTTTGTATGTAAGCAATGCCACTAGGATCACTTGTCCACATCAGCACCATGTCACAAGGGATTGTCTCATCAGCTTTAATTTTCACCACCTCACCTACTTTGATGTCTTTCCATCTTTTGGATTGGAAGTTTCCGGATTCAAGAACAAGGGATTCTTTGTTGTTCTCATTTCGATCAGATCTGTGTCTTCTCCAATCCTCGTATCCGTCTTTTATAGCAGTGACTGTGAGAACAAAAAGGAGAGGGAAGAGAGAGACTGTTCTTCCAAAGACTGCAAGAGGAGGAAGCTGATTGAGAGCTGCAATGGCTAAAAAGTATATGTAAGCCACTCGATGAAACTGAATGAAAAGATTCTTGGGTAAGAAGTTTATAAGTGTGTATTTGCTAGTGGTGATCTTGTTTCCTGTGAATTCATACTCTTCATTGGTTCTTTGAGGATTATCGATGTATATCAGTCTAGAATTATCACGTGCTAGCTTTTCATTATCTAACTGCATGCTTTTATAACGAATCTCAGATCAGGGAAATGTATCTGGGACCCGAGAAAAAGCAGCAAGAGATAACAACTTTTCCTTTCACATACAGAGCTTTATGGTGAATGCTGCAGATAGAACTTAGGTTCAAAGGGGTAAAGTGTGTTATTTCTTTCCCCTTCATTCACAAAGTGAAAACTAGAACTTCAATCCATTCTGTTTCCCCAACAAGAAGACTTATTGGGTACCCAAGATAGTCATGTTCAATGCATTGAGAATCTGTCGTGGGACAACTTGTTAACCAAAAGAAGGTCAAGAAGTCATTTGCTTTAGGGTTCTTTTCCTGTGAGTTTTAAGATATCTGCAGTGTCTCAAATCCAGAAATTAACGTTTCTGACACTTCAATGGAAGAGGATACACTAATAGACCTTCAGGGTTTGCACAATTGGGAATTTCACCTGTCGTACAAGACCAAAAACTCGTTCTGTCATTTACGCAAACACATTGTGTTCGAATTGTAAATCGCAAAACGAGAACAGAAAAAACAAAGAAACCCCAGCAATTTGGCGTAGATAGATACACAGACATGCACATAATTACATTCAAAGAAAAAAAAAAGTTGATGAATGATGAAACTGACCCAGATCAGATTAATCCTTCCACACACTAACGAACAGATCTGGAACGTCAAGAAACACAAAGATTGCAGCTTTTTCCTACAATTATCTGGCAAATTGTGAAGGCACAAATTAGATTGAAACAGATAAACGGACGAAGGCAGGCGGAGCGCGGAGATCGAGGAGAAAGAGAAACTGATGCGTGAGTAATGAGAGAAAGAGAGAGAAAGAGAGAAGGACGAGTGGATGAGCATAAATGTTGGTTCTTTACTCCTCTCTGCTTTAAACTTTAAAGTGATGAGTCGTCTAGTCCCATCTATCTGCCTGCAAATTGCTTGCAATTTGCCTTTAATTCACGTTTTTAGTGATTGATTGCCTTCGACCCACAAAAACAGCTACCCGTATTCGTCATTCCCAAAAGCTTACATTCCATTTTTTAACTATTATTTCCACATTCTTTACCTATTAAAACTATTTGTATATTTTTCATAAAATGTTTGTTTATTCCCGTTTAAAAAGAGGAGTTTTACTGTTTAGAGAAAAATATTTGACAAATTATACATATAAAATGATCGAAAAAAATACATCTTATATGTCTTTGTTTTTTAAAGGTAAAAATATAATTTAGTTTTGGGATATCGACTTATCAGAATAATTATCTTTTCGTTTCATTCACATTTTGATAACTTTTTTTTGTACGCATCTAGGCAACGAACTTGTTCAAAGTGTTCACATACGACCATTATGACCAACTGTAGCAAGTTACAACTTACATGACATATATGTGACAACGATAATGACACATGAGGGTAATGAACCATTGGTTTTGTTCACATCTAGACAATTTTTTTTCCAAATTCGATCATCCAACTTTTTGAAGTTATTCACATAATACCATTGTTTCAAAAAATTAAAACGGTAGTTGAATTCGTCGTCAAACTTGTTGAAGTTGTTCACATAATACCATTATTTCTAAAATCGAGACACTTGGTTCGATCTGACACAAGAACACCATTTTGTTTTTTAGGGTGAGGTTCGAAACAGACGATTAAACTTCTGTTTTACGATTATTATCCTAACGGAAGCTTGAGCTCACTTCTCCATTGTGTTGGAATTAGGAAACGAGGAGCATAGTGGGAAACTAGGTATGAGGTTGTACTAGGTGTAGCTCATGTTCTTGCGTATAATAAATGGGTAGGAGACTAGGTATGAGGTTGTACTAGGCGTGGCTCATATTCTCGTATATAACAAACGGGAGTGTGGGAGAGTGGGAATGAACTGAGGTTTCTTGTAACGTCCCAAAAATTACAAAGAGATTTTTCATTTTTGAAATAGATTAACCAATTAAACCTTTATTTTAGAAATCATTAAATAACGTTTGAGTGATTGAAAACCATACATTATCAGAGTTAAAGTTACAAAACCGCGGAAACGAATATATTTGATGCGTGTGTACAGTCACGCCAAGCTCTTCTCACGAACGACCTGCAAAATGTTTAATCCACAATTGTAAGCATAAAGCTTAGTGAGTTCCCCATTATACCATATATTCCATCATATATACAATGCATTCACACAAAGTCCTCGACTCTAACGTCGACTTGCCAACTCTCCTATCAACATGTATAAAACATACATAACAATCATACATACAATAACGAATCTCTCCCACCCCGAGTGAATGTTATGGCCAAATCATAGTCTTATAGTCACTTCTTGTTATGGGCCAAATCATGGTCTTTCTTGGTAATGTCAATGGCCAAATTCGGGTCTTACATGAAAGTGTTAGGGGCTAGATCCTGGTCTTCCATACAAGTGTCCGGGGCCAGATCCTAGTCTTTCATATATCTGCCAGGGGCCAGATTCTGGTATTTCATACATTTCCCAGGGGTCGTATTATGTTTTTTCATGTAATACACGGTTTCATATGTAGTCAGGGATCATATAGACATTTGAACAGATGACCCACCTGAGAGTGAACAGTCAAATAAGAACATCGTAATAAGGCATTATACCAAAAGTTCTTAGGCTATCCAACTTGAACTACACAGATACAAAGATATCATTACCCCATAATCATATAACATAAATACATAACAGATAATAGTATATTCATACCCTTAGCAACTAGCCTTCCCTAGTAACTCTGCCATTGATCACTTCTCAATTAAGTCTTTCGCTGGTCAATCATACATAATCCTGATAACTGGCATACCCTAACTACCATAACCAAACATAACTCCTAACAGTATCATACGATCCACAGGCAAGACCCTACCAATCTAGCATACCAAGACACCAAGTGTCATAAACTACACATGCATAACAAGGAGTTATCCTAGTCAACTAACATACGTGTACTCTAACAGTACATTTATCCTACCATGCAAATGATATATAATGGGATACGTGGCATAGTGAGACACTCGCCTGAGCTGAAGAACCGGAGAAGCACATAAACACTCTCACACCTTGCACTGCTCAATCCCATGAACCGACTAACACCAAAAGATATGAATCCTCAATCAACAACCCTAAACCTCCAAGTTTGACCCCAAGTCAACTGGTTAAAATTCAACGATCAACGGTCAGCAAAAGTCAATGCTCACGATGATGTGGAGACCTCTTGACCACGCCATGAGAATGTTTCGACAAAACAGTCGACATGCAGGACATCACCACGTCGTGGGCCCTCCTTGGCCATGTCGTGGGCATGTCAGGACAAAATCATGAAGTTGAACTCCACCACGCTGTGGAAAGTCCTTAGCTACGTCGTGGTTGCTGGCAGATTTTCCATTCCTTCATTAAGAGCTTAATCCTTATAGATCAAGGCTCAAAATTACAGATCTAATCCTTCTCACTGACTTAATGGATAAAGTTTCCAACTTTATCCATTAAGACCTCACTCTAAAACAAGATTTACAACCCTATGTCCAAAAATGGCATAAATCCTTCACAAAGCATGCATGGCTCCAAGGACAAGGTCAAGCTACCAACTTTCCAACAAAAAAAAGTTCTGGAAGATAATCCTTAGTGCTTAGAAAGGGCTGGAGTCACCTCAACTCCAAGCATACCACCAAATAGGGACCAAAAGCATAAAAATGGACCAAAAACTAGATCTAAAAAAGTATAAGAAAAAATTGAAGCTTTATACTCACAATGGTCCAAAAATGAAGTCACTTTGCTAGATCTACGCTTGAGCTCTTCACCAAAACACTTTGCAAGCAACTTGATCTTCAAGTTCCTCACCAAAACATGAGAAATGAGCCTTCAAATTGCCAAGAACACCTCAAGAACACTAAAAGGCGCTAGGGTTTCGAGATAGGAGAGTGAAGGCTGAAGAGAATGACCTAACCCTAAAGTTATGGTCTTTAAATATGGGAGAAACCCTAAAAATCATGGGCTTGGGCTGCAACAGCTTCCACGTCGTAGCCATCACCTTGCCACGCCATGGAAAACAAGCCAAACACGCTCTTCATTAAATTGTCATGCCACGCCGTGGTCACCAACCCATCACATCGTGGCATGTGGTTTTCTCCAAAAACCATAACTTTGGCCCATTAAGTCTTCAGTTGATCCATACTAGAAAACGGGTGTTATTGATATTGTTTTATATATATATATATATATATATATATATATATATATATATATATATATATATATATATATATATATATAGAGAGAGAGAGAGAGAGAGAGCCAGGTTCTTTTGAGAACCAAAAGATTTGTGAGAACTTGCGAACTCATAATCAACTCATCATTTTTCAACACCAAAAACACCAATCTTTTCCAAATGGTGCGTCTAAGCCATATCTAGGCTCAAAAAAAGTTTGAAGATTTTATTTTATTTTTTTTTGGTTTTTTGTATGACTGCTGATGAGCACAATCAACAATCATATGGACTCCTGGTGAGCACAATCAGCAGCCATATGGACTGCTGATTGCTCATTAGCAGTCCATATGGTTGTTGATTGTGCACATCCGCAGTCCATATGAATGTTGATTATGCCCATCAGCAGTACGTACAACTGTTGATTGTGCATACATGCAAATTTTAAAAATAAAATAAAAAAATTGTCAAATCTTTTTTTAGCCTAGATATGGTTTAGATACACCATTTGGAGAAGATTGGTGTTTTTGGTGTTGAAAACTGATGAGTTGATTATGAGTTTGCAAGTTCTCACAAATCTTTTGGTTCGCACAATAACTCAACCTTATATATATATATATATATATATATATATATATATATATGCATTATTTTAATATATTTTAGCTATATTTTGGTTTAGTACAAAGATATTTGGTACTTATGAAGTATAAATTCTATTTTGTTGCCAAAGAAGGACATTCTCGTGAAAAGTGACTAAAGTAGAGCAAAGTTGGAAACTTGGAGGAGGATGCTTGCATCGAGAAGAAGAAGAGAAGAATTTTGCATCAAAGAAGAAACCCACGGCGATGCATCTCCCGATCCACGACATGGCTTTTAGAACCTTCTCAACTGGCCATTAACGAAGGTTGAGGAATACGCGTCTGAAATGATTTCACGGCATGGCGAATATTTGGCCACGACGTGGAAATTATAATTTCGCAAGTATAAATATCATTTTTTAGGTCAAATTTCGGTATGCATGCATATGAAGCTGCTATTTTCTTTAATCTAAAGCGACAAAGAACCCTTGGAGACCTAATTTCCATTGGAGAATAAGAGTTAGAGAGATTGAAGTAAAGATTCATCATTAATCATTGGTTTGCCTAGATTTACTATGTTTAACCTAGTTTACTTTATGATTATGAGTGTTACTTCTATAATCATAGGCTAATAACCCTTTACTTTCGTTTATATTAGATGAACCCTAATAAAATGTGTTATTTTATGCTTTTATGGATTATTGAAGTTGGTTTTAGCTTGTGTTTAGTATATCGTATCCTAGCATGTTAAAGTTTCTATGGGGTCGGAAAAAAATCATTCTTGCTAGTCATCACCGACATGAAAGTAATGACAGAAACAGACAAAACAAACTCAACTACTAGCGCCTTAGTGACCTTGTGACTCTTCCTTATCCAAGTACAAGTCATGTGCTTCGGGTAGTATAGGCCTCTACTACCTTTCATACCTACCCATAGTCGTCCCAAGAATTGCCTCACAGTCCCCAAGTTACTACACCTAAAATCACAAAACAATTTAACATATAAGAATATGTTCAAATAAGCACATGTCTAAAATAGACTCAACTAGGCGCTCAAATGTTGACTATGTGTTCTACCATACACATACAAATTTTCCTAGACCCTCCTTTTAGGATCCTTTTCGCGCATATGCTAGACCTAGTATAATATTAC